ACACCCAGCCAGCCCCACTGTTAACTAGTCTGCATGTTAACTAGTCCTCACTCACTTTAAACTGGTTTATACCTCAGCACAGGAGAGTCGGAGGGTCGGAAGGTCGAGGGTCGAGGGTCCGAGGGTCGGAGGGTCGGAGAGTCGGAGAGTCGGAGGGTCGAGGGTCGGAGGGTCGGAAGGTCGGAGAGTCGGAGAGTCGGAGAGTCGGAGAGTCGGAGGGTCGGAAGGTCGAGGGTCGCAGGGTCGAGGGTCGGAGGGTCGGAGGGTCGGAGGGTCGGAGGGTCAGAGGGTCGGAGGGTCGGAGGGTTTCAATAAATGAACTCACGGTTCTGGACGTTCAGTCTGGTCCCGGATCCAAACAGCAGTTTATTGGCACTGGTCCCAGTGTTCACACAGTGACACAAGGCAACACAAAAACTGATCTGAGTTCAGCTGCTGCTTCACATCCACTGTTCACCAACTAAGACTCGATTATTTTCTCATGTTTCTAATGAATCTGCACATAGTTTGAATTTTGTGTTTCTCAGTTTCTCTGAATCTGATTTTGAGTTTTCTCTCAAAACTAAAACTTTCGTCTCTTCGAGTCGTTAATTAATCCTTAAATTCTCAATTAAAAACTCATTAAACTCATTAAACTCACGGCTCTGGACGTTCAGTCTGATCCCAGATCCAAACAGCAGTTTACCATAAGAACCGGTCCCAGTCACACCATGAGACTCCACAGGACAAAAACTGATCCTGGTTCAGATCCAACATTTATCCTGTAACTTGTAAAGTCACTTGTAAAGTTCCTCTAACGATCCGTCAAAGTTTGTTTCTTCACTCTTTCTGGAAGAATCTTTAGAGGAGGATTTGAGTTGGAAACATTTTTACACAAACTAGTTTTTCCACATGAAGCTGAAGACGCTTGTTTTACTGAATTATTCTGAACCATGTGAGTTTTGCACAGAAAGAAAAGAAGAAGAAGAAGAAGAAGAAGAAGAAGAAGAAGAAGAGTCTCATCTGAAGTCAATCATTAAACTCATTAAACTCATTAAACTCATTAAACTCACGGCTCTGGACGTTCAGTCTGATCCCAGATCCAAACAGCAGTCGACCCGTCGCCCCCCCAGTGTTCACACAGTGACACACACCAGGACAAAAACTGATCCTGGGTCAGATCCCGCTTCTGTTCCTGGGCTGCACTTTGTTTAAAGTTGGTGATGATGTTTTTAAAATGAGAATTCAGTTGATTTAAAAACATATAAATCAGCTGCCGATTTCTTCTTAAACCTGATGAATCCACATCAGATTATTTTAATCTTTAATTAAAATCGAAACTTTTTCAACATCTGATTTGTTCTTCTGAAATTTCCCTCCGATCAAGTCATTTGTCTTTTATTGATCAAGTTTCATTTTTCATGATCCTGCTGAGTTTTAGTGGTTAAATCATCTCAGTGTTTGAATCATCACGTGTTGAGACTCAGAGATAAAATCTGTCATAATAAACTAATAATAAACCGTCTCTTTGCGCAGTGACGATCATATCGATAATCAGTTCTTCTCTGATCTTCAACTTTAAATCTGTTTCACACAAACCACGTGTTTGTGTGTCTGACTGAGAAGTGACAAACCGAACAACACGTGTCTGCTAAAACTCTGATTTTCACTTGGTGGAAGAATAAAGTTCATGACTAGCTGCAGGCAGATTATTTTCAGCGTTAGTTTAAAAATATTATTATGAAATCATCATTTCTACCTGAGTGTTTCCCGCCACAGACTGAAAAACTGCAGCTCTGCTTCTTTTTACAATTATTCAAATGTTTCCAGAAGCAGCTTCATCTTTAATTTTACTGCAGCTTCAGTTGAAATTGACTCGTTTTAAATTTTACTTAAAGAGAGAAAAACACTTTCTTTTTTTTTTGTTGACGGTCGGTTTAAAAATAATGTTAAACATTTTATTTTCTTAAAAATGATCATTTTAAATTTTCCCTCTCACCTGATTCGACGATCAGCTGAGTCCCTCTCCCGAACATCAGTTTATCTGAAGTCGTCTTCACACTGTGACTGACAGCTGACTGAAAACCTCACAGCTTCACATCAGCTTCAACTTTACTTTAACTTTTATTAATTACCATGTCAGTAATAAGAATTAGAATATCCTGAATCTTTTATAGAAGTTAGAACAAACACTGATCCTCAGTGAACACGTTCCACTGAGTTTTACATCTGAATTACAGGAGATGAAACGTTCAGTGTTTCACCTGCTATAAAATATAAATTCTCTATTTTACTTTATTACGTCATTCAGACATTTAAACTAATCTGGGTTTTAAATGGACTGTTTAATGAATTTATTTTCCTTCTTAAAAAACTGAGTAAGTATAACTATTAGTTTTAACATCTGTTGACTTTCTACCCACTTGTTAAGTTTACTTAAAAGTGTTGTGTTTTAGTTGTGTTTACTTAAGTTTATGAAGTTGTTCCAGCTTGAAAATGGCAACTGAAGTGAACTTGGTCTTTTTAAGTAGTTTGAATGTAGTTTTACAGTTTCATCAGTGAAGCTGTCAAACCTGCTGCACAAACAACATCTAAACCCAAATCAAATAATCTGGGATTACGGAATCTAGAGGGTTTTTTCTTTTTTTCTGAACTTAATCCTGATGAAATGACTCGGGTTAACTTCAGTCTCACTTAAACCACAACAGATTGAATCATGTTTTCATTAATCCGAGATGAACACATAATCCTGGATTTGTTCTGGATCAAGTTTAAATGAACTTGATTCTGAGTGTCTGAGCTCCGGCTGTAAAACAGGCTGAACGTTACTTACTGGTTTCAACAGTCAGTTTTGTTCCACTGCCGAACACAGTCCTGTATCCGCCCTGACCAGTCACACCGAGACACACAGCTCAACAAAAACCAGTCAGACCAGAGACTGGACTGGGACCAGTGTAAGCTCTGACCGTGTCTTCTATTCAAACTCTATTTCTGCTCTATCAAACCTCCGACAGACATGATCCGGTTTGTGGCGTTACATCTTCTCACATCAGAGTCAAACGTTTTAACACTATAATGATTTATTTATTTACCGACCTGTGACCACGACGAGCTTCGTGCCGCCACCGAAGGTCAGTTTGTTTCCAGATCCATACACACACCCACACACACCCACACATTAACCTCTCACACACACATTCACTCAAAATTAACAATAACAAGTAAATATTTTTATCTATTTCACATGACGAAGCCTGTTTGTACCAAAGTCACATAAATAAAGAAATAAAGAAATAAATATGAAGTCAGGAAGGACAAAAAATAAAAATCTGACATTTTGACTTTGTTGATTTTATGAGATAAAATATTAATTTAAAATTTCGTCTTTTAATTATTTGACTTAACGTTTGTAAACTTTGGATTTTATCATCATTTTAATTTAGAAGACTTAACTTCATGAGTTTCACTTATAAAATGATTATTTTAATTTTTTACCTTTTAATTTTCACCAGGAATATTTCAGATTTACTTTAAATTGTTGTTTTGTGGCGTAAATGGTCTTCCATAGTTTACAGAGCTCATTTTATAGCTTTCTATTTTTTTAATATCTTTTTTATGAGAAGATTTTACTTTATGTTCTGTTCTTACATCTTCATATTTTACAAACTTCTGCAGCTTTTTACGGTTTAAATAAGTTTGATCCTCTTTTCTTTTCTTTTCTCCGTATTTCAATGAACTAAACTACAGAAATCACAAATAAACGACTTCTATAAACTTTTTAAAGCGTTAAGAGAATAAAATATTCATCTCACCAGTTTCCACAGTCAGTTTGGTTCCTCCGCCAAAATAAAGTTTGTTTGTTCCCTGATTCACACTGTGACTCGCACTGGGACAAATACTGCTGTGTCACGAAGTCTCTCTTATTCATATAAATGTCTTCCACACTGTTAATCTGTGTTTGATGGGAACTAGTTAACTGACGTGTCACCTTGTGTTTTTCTCTCTGCACTTTAAAACAGTTTGATCCCGTTTGTTTTTATCTTTTATATTCGTCGTTACTCGTCGGGATTTTTGTCACAGACACA